GTGCTGGGATTGTACTCTGCCACTGGCTTGGGTTCTTTCTCCTCTGGACAGAAGGTAGCTTGGTTATCCTTTTGGGAAGTTCTCTCTGTTGTGGAACCTTCTCTTGCTGCAATCACAGCCCCTTTTCTGGAGGAATCAGTCTTTTCAAAGAAGGGCAGTGGTTATTTCCTCCTCAACTACATTCTTACGCAAGGAAGAGGCTGATAGGGATCAGAGAATCATTTCACCCTCCACGTGCCCAGTCCCCTTATCAGCCTGGAGAATCTCAGAGCAAGGGGAAAACAGCCTGAAGGGGTGGGACGTGGTGGGTGGTGGCAGTGGTGGCTTGGAACTGGGGAGCAGTCACCAACTTTTCTTTCCCTTCCTCCCCACCCCTTAAACCACAGAAACCACTTAAGGCTCTGCACAAACCTGCCCTTCCAGGCAGGGCCTGGGGGCAAAGGTGAAAGCTATATGGGGCCTGGGCAGCCTGCCCCAAGGATGGAGGGAATCTCTTCCAGAGCCTAACCCAGTGACTAGGGACCACCTTTCTTTGGTTCCTAGGAGCTTGTGACCACTCTGGTGCTTGGCCACAAAAAAAAAAAAAAAAAAAAACGAACAAGGAATATTCTATAAACAGACGTAGCCTTGGAATTTCATGCCTCCAGCCCTACCCATCCCCATCACAAAGGTCATTGCGGGTGGAGTTTGACCCTACCTCCTGGCCTTGAACTTTCCTTGGTGACCCGGACTTAGGGCCAATAAGGAGAGTTGAAAAGTGGGAGTTCCAATTTTGGAGCAGAAAGACTTGTAAGAATGTGGTCTGCTATGTATTAGCTGTGGTCCCTGAGGCAAATCACAGCCCTCAGTAACTGAGACAAGAGATTAGGGCATGGCAAAACTGGCTGGGGAAGTAGGTGTGATCTGTTAATTACAAAATGCCAGGACACATGTGCAGAACAATTCCCAAAGCCCTGCAAGTGGACCACTCGGGAGAACTTGAGCAGGTTTTCCATAGGATGGCCTCAACCTGATGTCAGCCTGAGGCGTGGGTGATACAAAAAGGACCGGCCACACTGAGTTTTTGCCACTGTGTTTGCTCTTGCCTGGTGGCCGCCCTCATGCTGTAGAGTGTACTTCTTTTCCTACATGTAGTTGGCCCAAACTCTCTGCAGAGCCTGTTTCTTCTATGTTTAATAAAACTTTGCTACCATCTGTGCTTGTCTTTTTTTTTTTCCCTTCCTGTGCTTGTCTTGACCAATTCTTTGTTCAGGACAGAAAGAACCTAGAAACCACTTCCAGAAGGAGACTCCAGCACCCCAAAAGCCAGCAATATGGCCACTTCAGTAAAAAGGGCAGTGACAACTGTCCTGACTGGTGTTGGTAGAAGTGTTTTAGGGCCTGAGCAGTTTGTGCCTAGGAGGGGTCCACCGGACCTGCTTCTGCTGACCATAGCCAGCAAGATGGACTTTGCGCACTCCCCCCACCTTGAGGGCTGGGGATGCTGGTGAACTTCTTGCGGCCTCTGCTGAGCCTTGGGGAGTGGGGCTGGGTGCTTCAGTGCAGTCACGGTCAGAAACCTTCCCTGCAGCCAAGACTGATCCTCAGGCAAGTTTATTTAACCTCTCTGGCCCAGTTCTTCCCTTGTGAGATGCGAATAATCGTACTTTACTGAGTGGTTGTGATGACTGAGATAAGGCTGCAGGGTAAAGTACCGGACCTGGTACAGTACAAAGTACTGTGGTTAAAAAAGTGTTTTATTTGGGTGTGGTAGTGCATGCCGGTAATCCCAGCACTTGTAAGGCTGAGGCAGGAGGATCACGCAAGTTCAAGGCCAGCCTGGGCTACAGAGTTTAAGGCCAGCCTGAACTACATAGAGAAACCCTGTCTCCAAAAAAACTAAAAAAAAAAAAAAAAAAAAAAAAAAAAAAAAAAAAAATATCAGATTATAACAAACTCCAACAGTACAGAAAAAGAAAAAGAAAAAAGAAAAGCCTTATTCCCTCCTCCCTTTTTTCTCATTCCTGTAATCTTCCCTTACTCTGTCTGATCCCTTCTTTTCTGTTCTCTTTACAGCTTTATTTTTTTCTATTCCATATCACCTACTGACATTGTTCACATTTTTACTTGTTCATTTTGTGACCTATCGGATTCCTGTGTTTGCTCTGATTGCTGACACCTCGCAGAGCCTTCCTAAGTACCTAGTGTGGAATATGAAATTGCTGTCCAAACCCGTTCCAACCCAGTTCCTCACTAAGGGTTCTTGTGGGAGGATTTGGGGGCTGAAGTAGAAATACAGCACGGGGTAGGGGTAGACTTATCGGTGGACTTCCCACAATCCACACTTGTGGGTCCACACTGCCCGCTGTGAAATGACTGCGGAGCTATCATCTTGAGGAACGAGGACCCTTTCAGAGTTCCCTGGTGGAGAAAGGAGAGGTGCAGCTGGCAGTTGTGGGTAGGCAGTTGTAGGTAGAGTGATTAGGAGTGCAGACTCAAGAGCCAGACTCCCTGGGTTCCAATTCTATTCTTTGTTAGGCCCAAGGTCACACTGGATAACAGCAGTATCTGCACCCTTATGAGAGTGGCAGGGAGGAACAAATGTCCTGACAAATTGTACAGTTTTTGTACAAGGAGTCTCCCTGTATGGTAGGCTTATGGTTATTTGTTTGGTCAATGCTACCACCTAGTGGACATCTGGGGCAAAGTCTCCCCAGCCTTGAGCTCAGTGGTGGGGACCTAATCAGGGAAGGGAGAAGGAACCAAGGAGCCCTATGAATGGAAGGTGGTATGTGTATTTGTGTGTGTGTGTGTGTGTGTGTGTGTGTGTGTGTGTGTGTGTATGGACACGCATGCGCGCGCTGTTTTTTTTGTTTGTTTGTTTTTGTTTTTTTTTTTTTTGGTTTTTCTCCGGTACCGGGAACCGAACTCACGACCTTGCGCTTGCCAGGCAGGCGCTTTGCCGCTGAGCTAAATCCCCAGCCCCGATGCGCGCGCTGTTTAAAGGTGCACGTGCTAAGGTGCTGAGGTTTTATTGAGACGCAGCAGGCTTAGCCCTGGTGCACAGCTGGCACCGTGATAAGAGGATAAAGGACCCAAGGGAGAGGAGGAAGCGCTCCCTCCCTCCCTCCCTCCTTCATCCCTACCCTGAGCCAAAAGGAACCAGTTCCTGGAAATGTGGAGGTCGAGAGCAGAAGGTCACAGCTGACGTCAGGGATCTTCAGGTAGGAGGTGAACATAATTTGACCTACATTTATTTACTCGTGTTCCACTCCCTCCTCCTCCTGGTCCGGGGAGCCTTTTTTGGGGCACTCTTCATGCCCAGCTCTCCAGCCCTGGGACACCTACCTCAGTCATTAGGTACCCAAATGCTGTCTGGTTCTTGGCTCCAAGTGCCCCCTCCCCGCAAGACAGCACAGAGTGAGAGAGGAAACAGGAGGCAGGGTGGTTAAAGGGCACTGTGTGTTAGTCTGACATCTCCTGACTCACTTTCGAGACCCAAAATTTTCATTTGTCTTCAGTACAGATCTAGTAGGTGTAGGAGATTAGGAGGGAAGAGAGGGCCAAAATCCGCTGTGCAGCCCCAGCGACCTATCGGGGATGTGGCTTGTACTGGCCACTGTTACCAAGCTCTTGGCGGGGCGACTCCGTGATTAAAGGGCTGCCTGAAGGTGTGGGGTCCTGATGGATGAACCTGGATGAACCTAGGACTTAGCCAGCCCTGGCCTCCGGAAGTAACATCACTTGGGCCAGAGACCAGGCCTCGGCATGTTCAACACACTCTTCCAGGATTTCTGATCTCTGGTTATTCGGATGCGCCTCCATCAGAGAAGCGCGTCTATTACAATTTAGACAACCGGAGCGAGCGTCTTTGCCCCGGGTGGCCTGTACAGAAGGAATGGGTAGGCTGCAAACCCCAGCCTGAAGGGTGCCAACGAGGGCAGAGCTCCGGCATTTTATTAGCAAAACACACGCGGCAGACAGATGGAGAGAAGGAGGACGGCGCGCACAGCGGCCATCTCCCGAGGAAGTTGTCGTCTTGCGCTACAAGCTGAGATGCGTGGGCGCCAGGGAGCACCCTGGGCCCAGCCCTGCACTCAAGGGGGGCAGCAGGGCAATGAGGGGCGTCTCGCACTCCCCCAGCAGCACGTCCCTGCGCAGCCCCGCGCCCCTATCCAGCACCTTGGCCCTCAGGCTGCGGGCGGCCAGGTCCGGCAGGCCCAGCCCTTCGAAGAAGAAGTCCTGGTTGAAGATGGGGTTGGCGCTGCACTTGACCACGCGGCTCCGCTGCGCGCGCGGCCGAACGCGCGGCTGCAGCCTCAGCACCACGCAGCAG